TTTGGGATATCTAAAAAAACTATAAGGGTTTATCTTAGAACAACATTTTTCAGGTCTTGTTTTGGCAGAGTGCCTGAAATGTCGAAAAAAGAGGATTTTTCGATCTAATTTCGTGTTTCATAGGAAAAAAAATTAAAAATTAACAATATTCTTCCAAGAAAAAAAAATTCTTCAAAAATATGCTAGTAAAACGTTATCAGCTGGGCAAGTACACCGTCAAGTGGCGCTTCCGGTGGTAAATTGCAATTTGTGGTAAAACTTTTAATCATATATCTTGATTATACTAATTTATATTGTAGGTATAAGAAAGAGATATTGCACAAAGTATATATTTACCTATAATAGTATAGGGTGTCAGAATTTTGACGAGAATAAAAATGCAGAGTCTATAAGGTAGATATGGTAAAATGTCTTGGAATACTACTAGTCTAGTATTTATGGAAAATAATATGGTACACAGATATATGGTACAAAGATTACGTTTTAACTACTACTTCTACCACTAACAGTACTTAGGGCGGGTTGTACAAAGAACGGTTAAGGCTTAACCGGGGTTGATTAGTGAAATGCGTGTTGTACAACAGCTAGTTAGTGTTAACTGGCCCAGTTAAGGCTCAGTTTGTTAACTACCTAAAATTAGACCGTTAAGCCATTAACAGCCAAATTATAATCCAAGAAAAAGTTGTCATTTGTCGTGAGCTGTGATTTAAGAGGTTGCTTTTGTTATTAAATTTAAATGTTATGGAAGAATATATAGATGATGAGGACTCTAATGAACTTGGAAATGCATATGTGCATCCTAGGGCACCTAGACAGTTTCGCGTTAGAACGAATATTTTGAAGAATGGAACCACCAAGAATATTTGGCTAGATTTCGTTTGTCTAAAGAAGTTGTGCGTTTAATAATTGAAGAGGTCGAGAACGATTTAGTTTCTTCAACAAATAGGTGAGAATGAGTATATTTTTAATTTGCTAAGATTTTTATGCTCTAGTTTTTCGTTGCAGGAGCCAAGCTTTAACACCTGCAGCAATAGTCCATGCTGCATTGAGGTTTTTGGCCACTGGTTCTATATTGCAAGTTGTGGGTGATTTTTCTGGCTTTGATAAATCCACTGCCAGTAGGCACATTGACCGATGCTTGACTGTTTTTGTTCAATTACAATAAATTATACACAATTATTTATTTAAAGAAACACTTAATAGTTAAATTCTTAAACATAAAAAAACTAACAATAACAAACTGTTGAAACCGTTGAAACGTGGTTGCTTAAAAAAACGAGCGAGTTTAGTTTAGATTTTATGTTAGGTTAAATAAAATGTGTTTCTTCTTTGCATTTTTTGTCTTTTTGGCCTACGGTCAACAGAAATTTGGTAAAAATTTAGGTTTTTCAATAAAATAGGTATGCAACCAGGATTACGTACACTTAGGTACGTACTTAGTACGTATTTTTCTGTACGTACTTAAAACGTACATTTTACGTCCTGTACGTACTGTACCAAAACTGTACGTACTTAAGACGTACTGTGCTGTTTGGGTACGTTCTTTTTCAAATTCATAATCTACAACATTACAGCTTGTCTAAATTTCTGTATTGCTGTTTTCTTCAGAGTATAAACGTATTTATGAATTAACATATTATTCAAATAATCTTTGGTAATCATCTTACCACTACTATCACCATCCCAATGTGAAATCCTTCCTTCCAAACGTTTCCCAAGAATCTCTTTCAATTGTAAATCGACATCTGTGATGCCAAAATCTTTATAGGGTCCTCCACCTGATCCTTATTTGTATAATATACATATCGCTTCACTCGTGTTAGGCTCACTCATCATAATGCGCCACAGAATATTTAAAGACGAGATCAGCCAGTGGACAATGATGTACCAAAAAATATAGATTAACACGTATGAAAATAAAAATATTAAAATTAAATTTATAATTTTATGTTATTTATGTAAATTTAAAATAATGTTTTTATGAAATTTTTATGAAATCAATTATTTCAGGAATCATACAATCGAAGTAAAAATATGGTAGAAAAGGCTCCATCTTATTTAACTAAAATCCTGTATCCCTTACGATTGTTTCCATTTTTAAACTGTGTAGCGTGTCCTTAAACTTGATAGTACCATTTGTGGTTTTTATTAATTTTGTTGTTTTACCAAAACAGTAATATTTTTGATTTGAATTCCTTGTTCTGAGATCATATATGCCTTTCAGAATAGGGAAATTTTATTTCAACTTGGTCTCTATCTTCGATAAGACCATTTGGGGTTGCTACCAAAAAAGGTTGTTAGATATCAATAAAAAGATTACAAGGATCTATAGTTTTTCTAGTTATTTTTTATAATGGCTTCCTAGAATTTTCTTTATTTATTTTTACCGTAGTCATAAGTTGCCGAATAAAAGCTTTTGAAACAATATTGTATCCAAAAGTCATTGGCAGTTGTCATTCTTTTCTATCAAACAATCCCAAATAGTGACGCTGTAGGCTCTTTATTCTTTCAATTTACCATAAATTCGAGACATGTTGGTCTCTAGGTAATTCTTCTAGTTCATATACTTCTTCTGGATTTTCCTTTAAATTTTCTAAAAACTTTATAACCTCTATTAATTCATATTAACAAAATTTAGTTACCTGTTTGAATAGTTATGAGATAATTTCCCTTCTTTCTTCCACTGTTATTATAAATGAAACACATAGTTCGTATGTCGACAGCACTGTTTGTTGACGGTTTCTAGATAAAGAGGGAGGGAGTTTCTTAATTACTTTTAAACAAAAATATTCGGCGGACTATTGCACCTCTCTCTGGATACATTTTGCTACATTATCTTGGTTTACCCCGATAATTTATCATCCCGTTTGGATAAAATATGTTTACTAGGAGAGCCTAACCTTTTTTCTGCAGCTGAAATAATTGTCCAAAGTTCCTTTCGTCTAGACTTTCTCATTTTTTTTAATAGTTTTATTTTTTGCAAATAACACATTCCATATCTTAAATACATACACTTAACGCATGTGCTTAACACCAAAAACCTATGGGAAATTTATTCTAAAGGTATCCACTATTACTACTACTTGCTTCTATTATTATACTACTGAAGAGAATCGGGGTTATGATCGACAAGTAATGTTATTTTTAACAGACACGTTATTTGTGAACAGGTTGTAATTTCTGTGTGTTTATAAAATAACAGACCTGTTAAAAATACCACAGGTTGTCAATCATAACCCCCCATATTATAGCTTTACTTTCAAGAAACCAAAATTGTTAATGTTCATCCAAATTTAAATTTTTTTATCAAATTTTCTCATCAAATTTTAAACAACTTTTAAAAATTTCTGTCCGTCCGTCCTTCCGATGTCACGTTTTTTGTCTGCACGATATATGGGGGGTTAAAAGTATGTTTGTTTAACTGTGAAGAGTTTCATATTGAATGACAAGCATTACATACCTTCATTCTAGTTATTGAACAGCAATCAATACCCAGATAAGTCGAGACGCGTGTCGCGATAACCATATCGCAAAAAATTCATAACATATAAACTATGAGTCACAGGCCAATATTTTTTTTCTAAAAAAGTTTTCAGAACATTTCTCTTCATTTCATTCGCAGCATATATCGGCATAGTTTTAAAAATTTAAAAATTTATTCTGCATAAACGGTGTAAGATTTTCAAATTATTTTATTTTTATCAAAAAATATTTTGATATCTTAAAATATTTATTATTGAGAGGCGCTCATGTTTCTACTTTAATTTAAAAAATAAAAACAAATCGATAACTCAAATATTTACTGAGATAATATTTTAAATTTTTCATAATTAAAAAAGTTCTGCACAGACCAAAAATTAAAGAGGAACAATCATACAGTTTTTATTTGGTTCTACATTGAATTAGCGGTTTGGATTTACTCAACTACATGTTTTAAATTCCACTCGTTAAGTCCAGACCTGAATTTGCAGCGCTTAAATAGTGTTTGCCAGGTATTAGTCGTATCAAGTCGTTTCTTACTTTAAAGAATAGAGTCAGATATGCCAAGAGATAATTGTTTAACTCGAGCGTTAGATACCTGTTAAAATAGTTATTTATGCAATAAATAATTGTTGATATAAACTATTGAGATAGTCGTTAAATATTTATCGAAAGTGAAATCCCTATTGATCCGCTAAAATCAAAATTGCGCAGCAAGACGTGTCGTGCGCCAAATTTAAACTAAAAAGTTGACATTTTGGTTAAAATATATTCGTTCACTATATTTAATTTGCTCTATACAAAGTCCTTTGTGGAATCAGTCCTTTTCGTAAAGGACCATGCTATGAATTAAAACACAATTTCGTATAATTTTTTTTATATTCAAAAAGTTCAGTCACGAGTATTTTATAATAATATTATAAAAATAAAAGAAATACAAACAAAAATAAACTAAATAAGGAAAATAAAAAAATACTGCATTTTCTATACCACTAATTTTTTCTAGCTATAATAAATACCTAATTATTTATATTATAATCTTTATCATATCTGTAATAAATTACTGATAAGTAATACTTTTAATTATATTTTAAAATATGTGAATAATTTTATTATTTTTAGTATATTAATGCCATGTAAATATTTTTTTAATAATCATTCGAGCTGATTCGTATCATAACCATGCATTCTATCATTTTAATACTAACTAATTTATTTATTGCTAGAAATATAATAAATTTTGCCACATTTAAAAAATAAAATTTAATATATATGTATAATAATTTGGTTAACCTATTTTTTGCATGACATTTAATCATAAAAAAATAGTCTTTTACGGCTGGTCGCAGACGACCAAATTAAATAAGTAAAACCGTGTATTAACGCGCACTATGGATACGTGACCAGCTGGTTGTAGCGGCTACACATAGTAAGCATTAATACACTGTTGTTTTTATTAAATTTGGTCGTCTGCGACCAACCGCTCTAGTGCAGTCTTCGCTTTAACGTTGACGCATATCGCGGCTTTTTCTATTCCTGCCAATTTGTACCTACCGTCAAAAGAAACTAATTTATAAAATTAAATTAAATATATCTCTGTAATTTAATTTTATAGGCATTATTAATATTTCACCAATATATCACATGTTTAAAACTTCATGCGCAGTATTCTACTGTACTAGTTTCTAAATTATAATTCATATGAACATTATTTAACATAATCTAAGATAATATACTTTAAGTGCACTGCACCGCAAAATTAACGCATACTTGTTAAAATAAAAAAATCTAACTAATAAAATATTTATAATGCAGACCAATGGTTTAAAATGGGGCAATACTTGAGGCATATGAATCAAGCGGCCCCATTCAAAGAAATAGAACTAGTAAGGATGTTCCTTGGTGAAACCGTCATCTGTCAAACTTACGATCTGAAGTGCGGAAGCTCTATAATAGGGCCAAGCACAGCGGAGATTGGCAGAGCTACACCGAGGCGCTTACTACCTACAACAAAGAAAGCAGGATAGCTAAACGTAACAGCTTTAGAACATTCTGCGAGGATATTAACTCTACACCTGCGGCAGTGAGACTGCACAGGGCCCTGGCAAAAGGGAGAGTTGATACAGTTATGGCATTAAAGAAACCAAATGGAAGCTTCATGGAGAGTGAGGAGGAAAGAGCTCGCCTCTTACTCGAAACGCACTTTCCGGGAAGCACACCTTTTCTAATAAGGGACACAACTAAGGTAAGCAGGCCCCCAAGAGAGGCCGCTGTAGTGGCCAAACACATATGCAGCAGAAATCGGTTAAAGTGGGCTGTTAACACTTTTGAACCGTTTAAGTATCCAGGTGTGGATGGAATATTTCCTGCCCTGCTTCAGCAGGCACAGGAGGAATTACTATCACACATAATCCGGCTATTTCAGAGTAGTCTGGAGCTGGGATATATACCAGAAGAATGGAGAAGGGCCAGAGTCACTTTTATTCCAAAAGTAGGGGAAAAGGATACTACACATCCTAAATCCTTCCTACCAATCAACCTCACATCCTTTGTATTAAAAACAATGGAGAAGGCTGTTGGCAATTATATCAGAACAGAAGTCCTGGAGAGAGTGCCACTTCACCACAGCCAACACGCGTACCTAGCAGGAAGATCTACAGAAACTGCCCTGGTACAGTTGACTGACGTAATCCAGGATGCACTAACAAACAAAGAAACGGTCGTGTGTGCCTTCCTAGACATAGAAGGAGCTTTTAACACGCCACACGAATCTGTAAAAAGAGCACTTGCATATAGAGGAGTAGATAACATCACATCCAGATGGATGGCTCAGCTGTTATCTACGAGAAATGCAGAGACACAGATGGGGTAGGACACCATCTCCATCTGCACAACCAGAGAATGTCCACAAGGAGGAGTTCTATCCCCACTAATGTGGAGCCTAACCGCAAACGAACTTCTATTATGCAGATTGACTGACCTCGGCATACCCTGTCAAGGTTATGCCGACGAAATAGTCATATTTGCAGAGGCAAGTTTAGTAATATCCTGTGTGATATAGTCCAACGAGGAATAGAACATACCAAAAGATGGTGCCGTGAAGTATAAACCCTACAAAAACAACACTAGTAGCCTTTTTAAGGAAAAGAAAACTTGATCATCTCAAAACCGTTAAATTAGACGGGATAGATATAGAATGGAAAAATGAAGTCAAATGTCTAGGCCCAAACCTGAACAACAAATTTCTCTGGAACACATATGAGAAGGAAGTAGTAAATAAGGCCACAAAAGCCCTAATGGTATGCACAAAACATTGCAGGCAAACGATGGGGATGTAACCCAAACATACTGCGAAGGATGTATACTGCAATAGTGAGACCAATCATCACTTACGGGGCTGTAGCCAGGAGTAACAGAACTAGTTTAGCAACTATCTCAGCGCTAATATCTCAAAAGTATAAAGACTAGCCTGTGTTTGCATTACTGGTGCAATGAAAACCTGTCCTACGGCCCCAATGGAGGTGATCTTAAACGTTACCTCTCTACATTTGATGATAGAGAATGTGGCAAAAAGGATACGATATAGAATGATCAGGAGCGGAATAATCAGACGAAAGTCTACTTGCTTCAGGACTAAAGATACCTGGGACATGCCGCAGGATGAAATGCTAAAGTACATCAAGAGAAAGTATCATAGACAAGAAATTATCATCATGTCCGATAGTGAAGCAGCCATCAAAGCGCTGAACTCTTACGTAATCAGCTCAAAAATGGTCTGGAGATGCCTAGAACAATTGAATGAGCTAGGCGGGAAAAATATAGTTACTCTCACTTGGGTCCCGGGACTTAATGAGGTACAGGCTAACGAGATTGCCTTGCAAACACAGGGGCTCAAACACCCTTTGTAGGATCTGAGCCGTTCTGCGGTATCAGAAGTAACATAATATTAGGAGAGATTAAAAAAGAATTGGGCAGTAGAAGAACCAATAATTGGAACAATCTCTTGGGGCTGAGACAGGCCAAGATACTTCTGCCTGAGCAAAAACAGGCTACGTATTGTAACAGGGATCCTTACCAGGCATTGCCGACTGAAAGGACACCTAAGTAAACTGAGATTAGTAGAGGATAGTGAGTGCAGCTTCTGTGAGGAGGAGGACGAATCCTCCATTCACATCCTAATTGAATGTGTAGCACACCAGAATCCAAGAGCACTATATCTAGGATGATATCAAATAAAAGAGGGAGATTTACCTAACTTGAAGCCACTTCAAATCTCACATTTTCTTGAGAAAATAGGATTGGAAGGGTCGTTATAGGCATTGAGACATTTCCTTGGTGCACTGGCGACAGAAGTGGGTACAATAGATCTTTTAGGTCGCAGTGTATTAATACCCCATTCCCAACATAACATGGTTTAAAATGATTTATTGGTCATATCTTTCAACTTATTTTTTTTTACTTTCAAAACTACAATGGTTTTTGATAAAATATAAGTTATATTTGCGGCGCAGTATATTTTAGACATAATAATACTAAAGATTTTGAACAGGTTGGATGTAGAACATTGTGATTATGATTTAAGCACACAATTGGCACATTTATTGTATCGATTTTTCATAGCAAAAAGCAGGAATCGTTTTTAAAATTGCACCTCCAAAGACTCTTACAGGACTTTGGTTCCAATTAACTATAACATTTTTTCCACTAAGCGGTGCTCCTTTTCTTAAACCACAATCAAAACTTAATTCAACTAAAAGAAGACCTAAAGGTTTTTTAACATCACCAATATCGTTTATAGAAGATCTCCTGTTATTCACTTTGTACATATTTTGTGGATATTTTTTAATAACTCGAACGCTAGTAGAAGGTTCTTCTCCAAAAAAATTTCTAAAAATGTCTAAAAGTCCTTTTGGACTTCTACTTGGTTCTATCATAGCGTAACCTTGAGAGTCCGGAGCTATGCTGTCTTCATCGAGAATAGTTTTGTACCCTTCAGTCTGTCCAGATCCAAAAATAAGAGGTTGTTGAGGTTTGGGATTGAAATGTTGTTGTGGAAATCGTTGAGAATGTACATTTTGGTATTTTCTTCTAAAAGGTGATGTCTGGGGAAATTTAAGGGATCCTGAAGTTGCAGAGAGGACTAAATTAAATCCAAATATGTCTCCTTCTATGCCGTCATCTAAACCTTTATCAAAATCGGTGTACTCTTGGCCTACCACAATGTCACCTCCTCCTTTGATGAAGTTTCCTCTTAACTAAAAATAAATTAAAATCTTTTAATACGTTTTACCGAAGATGACGGATGTGTAAATGATTTTTACACCAACCCATCATTTTTTACTCCCAAATTGTAGTTGTTTTACCGGAATTAGTTCAAGTATTCCCTTCATTAAGTAATTATATTAGAGAATTATTATTTTTTTACACATATACAGAGGGTATCTCCTTAAGAATGGGACACAACGTTTTCTATCTTATATCAACCAGCTATAACTATAAGAATTGTACTAAAGAACGTATCCGTCGAACAAACTTACATATCAAGAATATCGCGTACGTAATAAATCTGGTACATAAAATAGTACTAGTTCTGACAACACTGTTTTTTCTTTTCTTTTTTGTGCTATGTTATTATTGCATAACAATTTGCCCTGATACATTCAATTTGCGATAATTTGTTTCTACTAACCTAACCTTACCTACTTAAAAATTTGGAATGGGTGGTCATTTTTCTCTCATGCAAATGCAACAAGATGTAGCAAATATTAAATATGGCCTTCGTTAATTTCGAATACAGGTCAAAGTGGGTAGATTTATTAGTGGCGGCTCTAAGATGATGTGATTAAGTGATCCGATTTCTCCTCACTCACAAATTGTATCATCTTTAATTCGGTTACAAAATAGATGGTATAAGGTTAGATAATGACCAGTTCTCATCCTTTTGATTGTGGAGAGACATCTTCTTTCAATATATTGTTTATTATTAAACCACGAAGTTTTGTGTATGTCAGAAACCACTTGGAAGTAAAAAGATGTTTTCTTTTCTTTTAGTGAATTCCACTGCTGAAGCCATTTGTTCCAAATGTCTTGTTTGATAAAGGGTATAAAAACTTAGACATATTAAGTTTAATATTTACAGGAATTTTAAGAATTCTACATAAATTTGCTAATTGATCAGCTTTATGGTTGCCAATAATGCCAGAATGACCTGGAATCTATGCCAAAATAATGTGGATGTTGTTAATATTAGCAAGTAAGATGGCTCGTGTTGTTATAAAGGAGCAATGATTTATTTCTATAGAGAATGTCATATTTCCAATTTTTTGTAAAGCACCTTTGGATTCCGAGAAGATAACTAAATTTAAATATTGTTTTCGAAAATGACTTGCAAGGCATGGTTGATAGCAATAATATCTGCATGGTATCTGTATGGTAAGGTAGTCTGCTTGAAAATATGTAGCTGAGGTCTGAAGATAATACCCCGAAGCCTGGTTGCAAGGGGATGTCTACAGGGAGGGGTGCTATCACCTCTACTGTGGATTATGGTCCTCGACACCATCAGCCACCTCAATAATGACGCTCACTACACAATAGCATATGCAGATGACCCGGTCATTCTGCAAACAGGGAAGTTTGAGAATATACTCTGCGAAAGAATGCAAGTAGCTCTAAAAATTATAGAACAGTGGTGCAAGGACCATTCACTGTCTATCAATCCTAATAAGACAGAAATGGTCATTTTCACAAGGAAAAGGATGAAAATGGAATAAAAAACTCCAGAACTCCTAAACACAAAACTATACTTTGCAACAGAGGTATAGTATCTAGGTCTTACCTTTGACAGCAAGTTAACATGGAATTCGCATTTAGGAACGGCTTACACGGCTATCATAAGACTTATGCTAACATACAGTGCAGTTGTCTGGGTACCGAAAACCAAAAAATTAACAGCTATCCGTAAACTAAAACAAATTCAAAGAACAGCATGTCTCAACACAACAGGAGCCATGAAAACAACACCGACCAGAGCTATGGAAGTCATTCTTAGACTCACTCCCCTTGATATTTACATCAAGGAGGTTGCTCTAACGACAATGACACGCCTTCGTACGGTTGGAATAGAACCTGGGGCCCAATTCTCGAAACATGCGTTAACTGCCGCATGCGCTAAGTAACGCATGGTCGTTAACGCATACGACAGCAATTTAGTATTCCTGAACACCATGCGATAATCGCGAATCAAGTCGAACGTGTTAACGAAGAGTCTTTGATTATTGCATAGTCTTAACCAATGAGGATTGAAAATACCAAAGATGGTATCACTAAATATGAGATAATTGCATTGACATATGTCAAAATTGCCAAAAATGCAAAAATTATAAAATTAAATGGATTGCAGATGTCTAATAATTTTTGGTTTTTGGATGTTTTAACTGTGATTATTTGTATTTTGGACTTGATTTTGGAACAGCGTGGTTCACGAATAACGGAAAAACAGTGTGAAACTTTAGTAGAATTTATAACATTGTTTAGTGCCTGTAAAACTCCTATGATAAAGCAGGATTAATTGACAATTATAACAGAGACAACCACATACAAAAGAAAATCAAAGTATGTGGAGACAACCCTCTGATTATAACCTTACTTTCACCTTAACGAATGCGACAAAGTGGTTGTCGAACGGTCATGAGCGCTCTTTGAAAATCACCATTTTTTAGCGCATGCGTTAATAAATTTGACGAATGCCGCCAGTTCAGGAATACACTTTCATCAAGTCGCATACGTTATCGCATGCGATAAGTTAACTAAGGCGTCAGGAATTGGGCCTCTGATGTAGGATCTGGTGAGGCGAGACGTCACTTTTGGCAGGAGGCGCTCGATACACTCCCACTGCTTCAAGCGAACATGGACTCCATCTCACCGAGATATATCTTCCATAAGCCATATAAAGTTATAATAGAATAAATAGAAGAGCCAGAAGTGGCAGGTACGGTTCATATCTACACCGACGGTTCTAAAACAAAACAAGGCTTAGGATGTTAAAGCTAAACATAAAATGGCCTGTGAGCAATAGTTCCAGTGTTGTTCAAACAGAGCTAATGGGGATTATCATAGCAGCAAAAGAAATAACCAGAAACAATATCACTGGAAGGAACATGCTCATCTATATAGATACCAGACAAGCACTACTCACCCTGAACAGACCACGAATTTATTCAGGGTTAGTACTAGAATGTCACGAAGCTTTTGCCGAAGTATCCATCAACAATGTGGTCATCTTAAGATGGATCAAAGGTCAAGCCACATCGAAAGGTAACCGTCTTGCTGATTCACTAGTCAAGAAAGCAGCCAACTAAATACTTTTTGGACCTGGCCCTTCTATTGGCCTGACAAAATCGGTAGTGACAGACCTAATTAAAGAACATTCTCTTGTGAAAAAGATGGGATGAAACAAGAAACTGCAGGGTTCCAGGGAGCTCTTAAGTTATCCTGACACCACTACAGCAAACAAATATTTAACTATGACTAGACAGAATCTGCGCCTGGTCACAGGCATTCTGACTGGTCATTGCCAAGTACGGAAGCATCTCCTTATCATGGGGCTGTTAGAATCCGCACTCTGCAGAGGGTGCGAACAAGGAGATGAGACCATCGAGCATATCCTTTACGATTGCTTGACGCTCTCATTTATTAGAAGATTTGTGTTCGGCGCGTATCGGCTAACGCCGGCCGATATAAAAAAGCACCTCTTGGCGACGTTGTCAACTACATTAAATCTATAAGCTGGCTCACGAGCTAGGAGGTGCCTATCATCTTACAAGGATGCACAATGGGCCTAATGAGGCCTAAGTACCGTGGGGGTAACCCACCCTCCACACGTTACAGAGATACAGATACTCCGAAGCCTGAATCATTAGAAGGTCTCACAGATTCATTCGGTAAAGAAATTTGAATAACCTAGTAGCTTGATTATTATGTCAGAAAAATTGATTAGCCATGTCATTCCTAATTGACCTAAGATTTAAAATTGGAATTGGAGAAAGTTGGGTAGCCTAATCAAATCAGAGTACATATTTGGGAGGAAATATTCCATTTAGTTTATTGGATTTAACCTTTTTGTAACCTTAACCATTTTGTAAACTTTTCTTCCTCTATTTAGTGTTACCAAATGATTTAACGAATTCATGACAGGGTTATTTTTCAATGCAAGGTTTTTTAGAAGAAATGTACAACAAAGCCAGTGTTTCTCTAAGTTTAAGGGATATCCCCGCACTCTGCTGGTAAAGCATAAATATGGGTTAATTTCATACAACCAGTTCTGATATTGTAGCTTGTCTAACCTTTTCTAAATGTACATCCTTCGTATATGAGAAAATTACCTGGCCTCCCTGATCTATATGACTAAAAACGATAGAGTTGTGTATTATACAAGGAAATTTTTGATCACTAACACGTACCATAAAAATCTCGCATGCCATTTATACCTCTGTTCATTTTTTTGGTTGCACTATATCATGATGTTATTTAATTAATAATAATTAATATTTTTTGTATTTTATATTTATTTGAAAAATTCAAAATTGTATACCAAAGGTTTGTTTCAACAACAATCTTGAAACCATACACAAACCAGTCCACAACTTATTTTCAACGACCAGGGCCAACTAGAGGGGGGGGGTAGCCGGGACTAATTCCCGGGGCCCGGACTAATTCCCGTGGCCCAGACTAAAATGGGGGCCCGGCAGCGGTATAAGGGGGGCCTGGCAACTAGATTATTTTTTTTTTTTTTTAGAAAATTCAATTCAAGTAGAGGAGGAAAAGGTTTTGTTTGAAAAGCTTTTTTTCGACTGATAGTTGACGACCTGTCAATGATTGGGACTGAATTCGGAACTTGGTTGTGTTGGAACACATGTTTCTGTTGTCAGAATACACAGTGTCAATAACGTAAAAGTAAAAAGAATAACAGATGTTAAATTTTGAATTTGGTAAATAAAAAAATTATAACACACTTATAAATTTTGATTATTCGATTGGTTAGCACATTAACTTATTTTATTTTTTACTGTGTCTAAGTCAGAATAATAGTCCTCTTCACTTCACTTCCTACACTCATTACTCGTAAAAAAATATACTATAAATAACGATAATGAATAAAAACCAAATAACGATCGAGACTAGGATCGATGCTATCAAAACGAATATAATCCAGAGTTGGTCATGATTTATTTACAAGCTTACTTTCGTTTTGCGTACG